AGGGTCTTTAAAAAGGAAAATGGGGGCAGGATAATCAAAGTCCAAAGAACTAAAGACTAGAAAGCAGCGCCATTGGCATGACCAGGGGTAAGAGGCAAGAGCTGGAGAAACTGGATCCCCCAGCCGTCTGTGACGAGCACAGCCCTGCCAGCACCAGAACTTCAGCCAGAGAAAGGGATGCATTCCGGGGTTGGGCCTACAGAACTGCTAGAGAATCCTTTGTGTCCTTTTAAGTTGCCAGACTGGTGGTAGATATATATTTGATATTTATATATACACTTTGCTATAGGGAGTGAAAAGGTTCTACCATTATAGGAAAAACCAAGAAAGTAAAGAACACACAGGGATCTTGTTGAATGAAAATAACTGAGATTCAAAGTAAAGGTCATGGTATGGTCCCTATGTGCAACAAAAGGGAAAATATTAATGAATGCATTTGTAGTAATAAACAGAGCCCTATTCCCAGCTGGGAGTGCCATTTTTCTTCAGTTGCGTGCTCACTGCTAAGTTGTTCATGTTCCCCTAAGTGATTACATGCTCACACAAGTAATTCTAATCCAACTCTTGAATCATTTTAAAAAGTCATCAAGTAGGAGGGGTTGGTGCAGAAAGGGTTCTAGAGAGGTGCTGAAAGGTATAATGGGGTGAATATAATAAAAGTTCTACACGCTTGAAGTTGTCAAAGAATACATTTTAAAGACAAGCAGCAAAACAAATTCTCTTTGCTTTATCTTGCAGTGAGCTGGGCACCTGCCGCCATCTGAGTGGTGATGTGGGATTCCCCTCTGTATGCTGTGAATATGTTTTATTGCCATTGGTTAATAGAAATGCTGCTTTCAGCCATTGACTTAAGAGAGTAAAGCCAGGTGAATACTTCGAACAGAGATGTAGAGAGAGAGTAGGTGGGGTGGAGGATGTGCCACATAGCTGCCAAAGGAGACAGATGCTGGAACTTTACCTGGTAGGCCACAGCTCCGTGACAATACACAGATTAATAGAAATGAGTTAATTTAATATGTAAGCGTTAGCTAAAAATATGCCTAAGCTATTGGCCAAACAGTGTTATAATTAATACAGTTTCTGTATGATTATTCGGGTCTGAACAGTCAGGAAACAAAAACAAGCAATCTCTGCCTACAGTATGGTCTGCTTACAACTTGCAGTGAACCGGGCACCTGCCAACATCTGTGTGGTCTGCTTACTCCAAAGAGCTTTCCCAGAGACAGCTTTCTACTGGAGACATACACTGAGCTCCATTATTAGGGAAAGCATGTTGTAAAAATATTAACACAATAGGGACCAAACTATAGGTAAGTTTCTTATCCTCTTTTTCCATTTCTAACCAAGAAATAGTATTCAAAAACTATATGCCAGGTTATTTTTTTCCTTTAAGCTGAACATTATAAATACAAATTTTATTAAATTTCTTTTGTTATTAACATAGAAAATGCTGCTTTTAACTGTTACACACAAAACATGGAGAGCTCAGAATTTCCACCATCTTGATAACCATATTCCCTTTCTCCAATGGTGTCCACCGTCTGGTTCACTGCAAGGATAGCTGGATCGGAGTCCGATTAGTAATGCTTAAGAAAACACTAACAGCTACTGATTTCTACAATGGATATTTGCATGCGTGGTACCAGAAAAATCCCCATGCTCACCCAAGCCAGTGCAGATTTTAGACTCTCAGACTTCCAACAAAGAAGCATCAGAAAACCAAGTTGTTGCTATGCAACAGTGCATTAAGTAGCTAGAAAGAAGATGGACAAGGACCTATTTCACACTTGAATTTAAAAGCTTTATTTATAAGCAACCGACTTTGAAAGTTGACATCATTTGGAGAAAGTGAAAATGGTTATCAAAATGGTGGACACGATTGGAGAAAGGGAATATGCTTATCAAGATGCCAGATTAAATAGAATGTTTTACACATTAGTACATGTGAGAATGTTCTTGCTTCCTATAATTGAGTCTGCAATGTTCCCTCAAAGCCCATATGCTAAAGGCTTAGTCACCAGAGTGTGGTGCTATTGGTAGATGAGGGAGGCCTACAAAGTGGGCCTAATGAAAGCTAGATCCCTGGGGGTGTGTTCCTAAAAGGGATATGGGACCTCTGCCTGGCCCTTCTCTGCTCTTGCTTTCTGGTGACAATAAGGTGAACCATCTTCTCTGCCACTTGCTCTCTGTAATGTACTGGGTTCCATGGGTCCCAAAGCAACTGACCAACTGACTGTGGAATGGGAGCTCTGAGCAGACACAGCTCTTGAAAAACTGGCTGTCTTAGGGACGGTCACAGCAAGGAAAAGCCTTCCTCTGGCCCAGGTGCGGGTGTTGACGGTGCATGAGAAAAATGCTTGCCATGCCTTCCTCCTCTGAGATATTTATGATCTGAAGACTGCTCCCCTCAGAGATGGGGATTAGCCAAACCTGTCCCTGTGATCCAGCTGTACACCACAAACCTTCCCTGTTTATCTGCGTGTGATAACCACACCTGTCTGCTCACCATTATATGATAATCACGCTAAGCTCCTGGGGGCTGCAGGTAGTCCATTGAAGAGCCCAGCCCCCCCCCCCCCCCAGTTTTTCTGTGTGTCTGTGTGTCTGTCTTTTCCTCATTCCCTCACCACCTGTCAGGCCCACCCCTGTTTGATCTTTGCTAAACTAAGTGGAAAATTACACCTCACCATAATTTTATTTTGCATTACTCTCATGAATGACTCTATCCACATGTCTTTTTCACCTTACTCTGTAAATTATTTTTTTCACATCCTTGGCCTTCATTTTCCAGACGTCATGGTCATTTTGCTTTCAATATGAAGGATTATATACAGGCAGTTAATGGCTGCTGGAGCAGTCAAAGATTACCCAGTGATCTTTACACAAGTTATTTCAAACAGGAACTGCCTTGTCTATATGTTCGTATGCATATAAAATATATGCCTTAAGAATATAATACATATAAAGGAAATAATGCCTTTGGGTTGTAAGTATTTTATAGGTGTTTTCTTTTAAGCTTGTCTATTGTGAAAGTCGTATTCACACATCAGTTTAATAACGGAGTACATTGAGACCTGTGTTACTGTCCTGCTGATCCCACTTCCTCCAGATCCGCTCCACATGGGGCCCATCAAAGCAGCACGGATGAGGGAAAGGTGGCACTGCTTACCTCTGTTGAGGACCGCGGGCATGAACAGACTCCATCCTGGGCAAATCAGCTTGATGCTCTCCTTGGCCTATACCCAAACATTTAAGTCATGCCTCAAATATCTTTCAGCATCTCTTTGTAGAGATATAAGCTAATATATGTTTTCAGTCTCTTCCTTACCTCCTACTTTTCAAACATGAGTTAGGAAAAGTTATGGATACGCTTCTGAACCCTGAACCCTGTTTCCTCACTAAGGGTCTTGGAGACTGTCATAACATACATAGAAAACTATTATAAGGCTCACACGGTAGCTTATTTGAGCAGTCTTCAATGGACAGATAGTAAGTTATTCCCAATCTTTTTCTAAAATAGACATTCTCATAAGAACCTCATGCGAGCACCGTTCACAAACAGATAGGGAGCAAGTCCCAGAGTGCTGCTGGTGTGACGTGATGAGCACTGTCAGCGTGTTAGCTCACTCCCAGTTCTGTCATGTGACAGTTCCTCCCTCACCAGTGAGCACACACTGTATCACACAGCTTTTGAACTCCCGACAATCAGATTGGCAAAGAAAGAAATCTTGACGTAACTTGGATCTGCCTCCCCTATCAGGAGCTTTAGGCTTCTTTGAGGTGCTAAAGGCCCATTTAGGCCTTTTTCTGGAAACCCTTTCCTTTTAGTTTTCATTATAGTGGTGGTGGTTTTTCTGAGACAGGTCCCGCTATGCAGCCCAGTCTGGCGTCTGAATTGACAGCATCCTTTGCCACCATCCCAAGAGCTGAGACTACAAGCGTTTGCCACCGTGCTTGGCTTCTCCTTTTTACTTTCTGGGTGTTATTTGTACAGTAAGCCCTTTGTTATATAAACTAAGTATTTCTCATCTTTCTCATCTTTTACATTTTTGTGCTCATGATGGCATTTTACATTTCCACCATCTTTGGTATCCTCCCTCCTTCCTTCTCCCTGTCTTACTTTCCTGTTGCTGTGAAGAGATACCATGATCAAGGTAATTGGATGCTGCACACTGAGAAGGCTGCTTTTCCATCCTCGTCTTTCAGACAGAGCCACTCCTCACCAGCAGATGCCGAGCCTGTAACTAGGATGGTGGTACAGACAGGCCAGACACTTCTTCCGTGGCCCTCACTCCCAGGAAATGTATCCCAAGCTTCATGTCACATTAGCAGCTACTTGTGAGGTTCATAAAGAAATCTGATGCATGACCAAGTCTGCCTCCTGCAGGTAGAAGTGCCTGGCCTATCATAGCTGACCTGTTTGTGCCCTCCTACAAACCTACCTCCATCCCAGCACTGTACCAACCTATAATCCTACCTCCATTCCAGCGCTATGCCCTTCTGCATCCCTACCTCCATTCCAGCACTGTGTCCTCCTGCATCCCTACCTCCATTCCAGCACTGTGTCCTCCTGTATCCCTACCTCCATCCCAGCACTGTGTCCTCCTAGACAGGACTGTGTTACAGTCCTGCCTTGCCCAGAACTCACTCTATACACAGGCTGGCATTGAACTCACTGAGGTCCTCCTGCCTCAGCTTCCCGAGTGCTGGGATGAAAGGTGTGGGCCACCAAACATGGCTGAACTGTTATTAATGTGGCTTTAAAGTGAGTCCGACTAATGCCCTTAGAACCTACAAACAACTGGGCAAATAACCAAATAACCTGTATCCACAACCTCAGCCTAGACTTCCCAAAGGGAAACTCAGGAGTTCAGTTCATCCAACACCATGCCATTCCCTTATTTTCCATGAAGAAACATGATTATCTTTAGATTTAGTCTCAACTGGATGGAATCAAATCATCTCACAGGAAATATTACACGCATTGTGAATTCACCTACCCACAGCCAGGAGCAACTGCTCCAAGTTCCCTGAAGTCTCTCGAATAAATGGTTTCCTCAATCTGAAATCCTGAGATTGTCATGTACTTGTCAAACACTAGAAAAATAAAAAAAGAACATGCCTTCACAACCGATGAAGAAACCCCTCCCTTCCATGATGTCAGGGCCACCCGGTGCCAAGCCCTAAGCAACAGTTTACATATGTTGTAATGCATGTCATTAGTTATAAATTTGCAAAATTGAGCTTAGTTTTGTTTGTCGCGACAAGAATTTACAAGGTCACACAGGCTGGCCTCAACTTTGACCCTCCTGTTTCTGCTCTCCAAAAGCTCTTTGAGATGTGGCCAATCTTTACAATGTCACAGAGTTGCACCCTTTTAGTTTTTGTCTCGAGTTAACAGACAGAGCCTGTTAGCCAGGATGCATGTCGAAATAAGGCCCAGATGTGACAGTGGCTTGCCTGAGGAGCTGGGCAGGCTTAAGCATGGAGGTTTTACTTAGGCATAAGGCACCACGCTTGACTTCTAAACATCGCTTCACAGATGCTGATTTCCTGGACTCTTGCTGGTTTTAATCATGTGAGAGTAACAAGCAAATCTGCTGGGGGAGAGTCTCCTTCCTTCTAAAAGGTGGTCAACAAGTAGACCTGATTTAACCTTTTCTCCTCTTCCTGTTGTGAAAACGAGGTTTGGAGCCACAGCAGCCACCTTGTGATGATGAGGTAATGAGCCTAAGAAGGGACACGCTAAGGACAGTGTGGCAGGAAAACAGAAGGATACAGGTCCTACAAATCACCACGTCACCCCCACAGAAATAAAGCCCAACAGTTAAAGACATGATGAGGGCTTTTTGTCATTTGCCACCAAACTAATTCTCATCCGGCACCGACAGCTGCACTGAACGGATGCCTATGAGTCTTAGGGACCAATGTGCAGCAAGTTCTTAGAATGTGACTCTCCTTGGTGCCTGACAAGACTCCAGCCTAAAGACTGGACCTCTGAGGGTGAAGGGACTGCTGAGGACACCCAGCTTTGTAAAAGCAGCAGTAGCACTCTGCAATTTCTCCTGATCAAACTGTGGAAACTGATTTTTCAGGGGCAGGTATCTGTCCAGATTTGCCACGTTCTTTTCAGATTTCCCAAAGCACTGGTCTCAAGCAGTTGGTTTTTTGTTTTTGTTTTTTACTTACCTTGTCTCAAATGAGACACACTGCGTGTCCCAAACACGGTGATAAACTTTTCTTCATCTGTCTCCCACTTCAGCTCCCCAGCCTGGAACAGCGCCTGTAATGAATCACCCTGCGTGAGTCAGTTACTTTTCTGGTTTCCTAAGCACTCTGTACCTTCCTGAACAGTGATTCTGCCTGCCTGTGTACCAAGTTAATGGGTCACATACAAAGCACAGAAATGACACAGGAGCTCATGTTTCCAAAATGTTGGCAGGAATATCCCATCTTCTAGGAGATGTCGTGGTCTGCGAGAGTTCTTGCCATCTCCTTTTGAACACTGGTTTACAGACAGGAAAGTAACTCAGATACAGATAGGAAAGTTTCTTGGTTTTGTTTTGCTCATCCTATAGTTGCTGTCATGTCTATAGCACGTGACAAAAAGCAAACTCCATAATTCCTGTTTACATCAGTGATGTAAGCAGAGTTAGCTATAGAACACCTCGGTACACAGCCACACAGTTCATGGTGAAACGCTTAACATTACAGGAAAGCACATTGGTTGGGATCTATGGGCACTTATACTCTTGAAACCACCC